ACACACACAGTAAACAGACAAACAGACAGATAGTCAGACAGACAGACAGACAGACAGACAGGCAGACAAACAATTATCCTTTATTTTGCACCACAAAAATACAAGTGGGGGCAAGCAAGGTTATGTTCATATGAATATCAAATGAGATCTGTCTCCCAGACACATTTCTTAAACCTTTACTCAAGCTTGCAGAATTCAACAGAGTGCCTTCCTTATAGAAAAAGCAAAGTGAACTGACTTGATAACACAGATAAACTAAAAAAAAAGCTTGGTTCAAACCACAAAAAGCGGTAATGAATAAGCAAAAAACATACTACTGATGGCACAAACAACATGAAAATACCATACAAATGAAAGGGGAAAAAAGTGAAAATTGACAAGAAAAAACAAAACAAAACAGAGCACTTCTAAACAAAAGGTCAAGAACTTAAGACATGACAAAAAGATTAGGTACCTTAACATTTTCAAACAATACTAGAAATCTATATTACAAAATGAAAAGGATGAAATATGTATTTTTATATAATATCCTTATATTCTTTATCTCAATAGAACTGATTCCATTAATTTTAATTATTAGACTTGCAACAATTTATAAAGACAAATCATGTTTTCTTGTTCTCCATTTTGGTTCGGGTACACCCTTCAATACTGATGATAAAACAGAAATTGGGCTGCTTTTTCTCACTTAACTTGTGAAACAGAGTAGGAAATGACGCAATAACGTATCAAACGTGTGTAAGCAACTAAAATGAAGACAGGAGAATTATCACGGCATAATTGAAACAAGATAGGGCTTACTGTATATAAATTAATGCTCTAAAGTAATACTTGAACAAGATACAAAGGACAATATTAAATGTGAGCTTAAAACAAAACAAAATTGGTATAAGAAACAAAAGTGAGAGTGGGATGATGGATAGGAGATATGGAATACATGTAGTTATATAGGAACTCTAACGATACTAGGTAGGGGTTTTCTCACAAAATATTGGGTAGTTTCAAAATGAGATAATGAAAAAAAATTGTCTTAAAGTCAAAACAGAAAGAAAAAAGAAAGCAAATTAGTATTTGATCTATTATTGATTTTCAGACAAATAAATCGCTTGGGAAAAGAAAAATAAAAAGTGCAGACATAAACAACAATATTCTTATGTCAACATTTTAGTCGCTTGCTATTGTTGTCAGTTAATCTGATTCTTTTAACTTTTTAGTGACAGGAGGATATATGGTCGCTTTTAAACACAAGGCGGCTATCCCGAAAAATGCTGATTTTTAAGTCATTGCCCCTTGTTCAAATTTTTTTAAAGACAAGGAAAGTTTTCTCAATAACCAAACAAATATATACACCATTGAAGCCAAACTTCTCCTGTAGGTAGGGCAATGCCCACTTTTGGTGTAGGTCAAGATTTGTGGAAAACCCCGAAATTTTCGTAAGCCCGCTTGTCCCTAAAAGCGACCATAAAAAGGTATTCAAAAAACATAATTAACAACTTATAAAAGTAGCAAAGCCTTCTAGGAAAACAGTAGGCTACACAAGACAAGTTTTCTGTAATAACTGAGCATGCAGAAGAATGCAACCTTATTATTTTTATGAAACCAAAATTCCAACAACAAAACAATAACAATAACCAGGAAAAAGGGTGGGTAAATATAAATGAAAGAAAGACCAATCTTACACGACCAAACATTGGGAAACTTGTCCTTCTCTGAAAGACAAACAGTTGCAGTGTTCACTAAAACAGCTAAAGGTCTGGTCTCTTTGAAATCCAAGGAAGCGATACAATACAACAAAAATTTGTTAACATTAAATTCCATGTTGTCTTACACAAAAGCTTCACTTTTCTGCACTCTGCGTACAGCACAGAAATTTTACTTTGAGGTTATGACCTAACAAACTTCAAAAATGAAACTGATTTCTTGTTTGATTTCTTCATTATTTTTCATGATTCTTTTCTTCAACAAAATAAAATCTAAAATGTTTCCTTTCCTCTGAGATTTTGACTTCTCTCTTAATCACTCACTAAATGAAATCTCTTTCTCTCTCTCATATTCACAACTCCACATGAACAAAACATGACATCATCCAAATTAAAGAGATTTGAATTTTTTCCAAAGACGGAATTGTTAATACGAGTTGATACATTGATAGGCCCTACTTTACATAAAACCCAGCGGTAATAAACCTGACCAAAAATACAAATATGTATGAAAATGAAAACCAATATAATCTAAAGCACACAGCCTACTTTTTAAATGCAACTTAGAATTAAAATTAGGAGCAACGCTGTTTTTACAGCACTCTCATATGCTCCAAATTGATAACTGTCACAATAATTCTTATACTACTACTAATAATAAAAATAATTTAAAAAATTAAAACAACTACAATAAAAATAGCAATAATTAAGAGGCTCAATGATAATAATAGTAATGATAATAATAATGACAATAATAATCTAGTATAGGAGCTTTGAGCACCTTTATATATTATAATTCTGACAGACCCTATAAACCAAAACGTTCGAGTCAGCTTTCCGGGAAAAAGCACACATATTATATCATATAGTGCCACGAAAATTTTAACAAAAAATTACATATAACAGCTTAATCAAAGGCCTACCTTGGGATCATTTCCAGGCCCTATAGTAGCTTCTGTTTCCAAAAATTTCAAAAGTCTATTGAGCTGATCTCGCTCCGCTAATGAAGTGTTTTTCATCTCTGCCATGGCTCTCCAGATGTTTATTACCCTTTTCTCTGAAATACAGAAAATGATTTTCAAACAAAAATAAGTATACAGTCTTGCTTACACTGAAAAAGAATTTTTACTGAAAGCTACCTGCTACACAAACATATATATTATAAAGCAATACTATATCAGAGTTATAATCTCAATCTCAACGTCTTGTCTATATAAGGCCTGCACTCCTTAATTATGTATCATATATTATTTATATTACCGCATCAGGATGTATGCTACCATGGATGTAACCCTAATGAACATATATAGGAGCTTTTGAAGTCACACTCATATATAAAGAGCTTTGGTTACTTGAAAACATAAATAAGGTAAAGAAATCAAGTTTGAAACTCCCTCTAAATGGAAGAAACTGCTTATACTGGTGCAATTCACATCCTCAGCATATGATGTCATATATCTCATATTATTCTGCATGATTTAGATCCAAGAAGATTTCAGTAATATTAAAATTAAAAGCCCACAGCTTAATAAAATAAAAGATGTTGCAATCTCTCAAGCAATGCTACTGTTACTGTGGAGAAGAGCATGTTCAGGTCTTTTCGAATCGCACACTCCAAATATTTAACATTAACCTCGATCAATCCGAAAATCAAAAGAAAAATATTTCTAATTAGAATCTATATAACAAAAATCATTCATACACAGTCTTCCTTTCTATTTAATTCCTTTTTGCCATTCACAAGTGAATTATAATGCATCTCTCCTCCGCCTCAAATTCACATAATATGTTGGCCTATTTAGCTAATTTGATTCTAGATTCTAGATCTAGATCTAGATCTAGATTTAGATCTAGATTCTAGATCTAGAATCTAGATCTAGATCTTATAATTCTAATTAAATCATCTTAGTAAAGCTTAGGTAACAATTAGTGTCTTTCCCTATTCTAAACTGCTGCAACATTATTAAAGACAAAAGAAAAAAAAACCATAGATCTAGTTCTAATCAAACCAAAATTCTACGTTGATTCTAATGGATGGAGCCTGATTCATTAGCCTTCATTTGAGTGGTAGGCTAGCACAAGTGCCACTTTTCGGATTTCCATTTCAGAGGTCCCCCACACGACCAGCGCTCTCGACTGTCAACTTCACGAAGTTACCTTTCCCTCGATGTACGAAAGTTTAGACTTCAGCCACAAGACAAAAAAGACAAAAAGATTTTGCCATTGGTCAGTTAATACAGCGCCAGCGCTCTGTCATAGTGGCACTTGGTCACTCCCTAATTTATAATTCAAATTGCCATGTCCACTTCTCTTTGACTTTGAACGGTGGAGGAGCGCTGTGTCACTATGGCTGCACGATGCCATTTGCTAAATTTAGAATGTCAACTTCCGCTATAAACACTGCCGGTTTCGTGTCGACAGCAGTCAACTCATTCTGAAGCTTACCTCCATGTGAGAGAACAATAGAAATAAATTACTGCTCCGAGAAGGAAAATAATGAATACAAAATTCCAAATGCAGTAAAATCGCATTCGCATCTTGATGAAATCCGAGGCAGCTCTGTAAGCAGTTGCAAAGCCGATGCAGTCGAATGCTTTAAAAATTCACGATGGGGGGTGTGACTGTCTTACGGTGCTCATAATATATAGTAGCCTACGGTGTTCACTCAGAAGAATTCATTGACAAATTATTAATTTTGTAATAAACTGCTCGCGCGTGAGATAATACGTGTATACATGTATTATTAGGATAAACCGATTTTACGATAACACACTTTAGGGAAAAAAATTGAATATTGAACATCTGCAGAGGTTACAACGTTGCTGTTTGTTTTTCCATTTTTTCCAAGAAGAAAAGTGTTCTACTTTCGCTTATAAAGTGACAGACAGGCAAACGGGTCGAGAAAGAAGGGTAAATTAAATTAAATAAATTTACGATTTGATGGACTGGACCACTCAGCACCTTTGTTCAGGTTAATTTGCTCTAGAGAGAAGAGAATAGATGTTATGACACACACCCC